ATCTGATCAACTTTCTGAGGCCACATCAAAACTACAGAAAAGGCTGATCGACCCAGCAACTCTAACAAAGATCATCCATCGGACATCTGGTCACTCCACTATCTCAGAGGCAGAGGCTGCAGGCTTTTCCCCGGTGGGGAGAGTGGGGCCCCAAAGTCCAACCACAATATCCTATTATGCAGGCCGCAGCTAAATCCACTGCGCCTTTCCCGCTTTTCTCGTACTGCCCAAGCCAGTCTCCACCTCCGAGACAAGACTCCGAAAAAGGTGTAAAGCTCAAATCGGATGATCATGACCCACGCGTGGCCACCGACGGTCCCATATTACCCTTTGCAGTCCTCCTGGAACAGCCGGGCCGGTCCTCACCTCCGGGGCGGGGCTCAGAGATAATGGGTGTAATGGAAGGCCTGAGGACAGGGCCCCAAGCTAGTCGGCGTCTGGGCGGGGTACCCCATCCCCCATTCACACTCTCGGAAGGCCCATCGATTCCCGCCTGTACTAGTTGACCGGCTCAGGCCACAGTACTCCGAGTTCAAGAGCGCGCCTCCAACGCTGACCTGCAGGTTTAATCTCCGACAAAAGGACGAAGAGTACACCCGGCAAAGCTGGGCTCATCCTGCCAGTGCTGCCAGTCGCCTGAACTCTGCACCGCGCCCTGTGGCCAAATCCCCTTTCTGGCCGGCTTCTCCAGAGCGCCGGAGAGAAAACCTTAACAGTGCAGCCAGGTGGCGCCCGACAGCCGGTGCGAGCAGCCGCGGATCGGATCGGCATAGCTGGCGGTAGAGGCCTCTCCAAGTCCCGGGCCACCTGGTATCTCGTTTCTCAGCCGGGGGCGAGCGGAGGAGCTCTCAGTTGACACGGGCCTAGAATGACGCGACACCGCAGCCGAAGGGGACTTGAAAATTTTTCCTAACCACTGTTCCGCTCCGAGGGACTGCTACCGGCTAGGACAGACTGCCCACGCGGCTCCGGGACGGGGGATCTTCTCCGCGAACCGGGAACGTTTCCGGGGACCACCGGGGCCGGCGCCCAGCCTCATCTTCCCAGCGCAGCGGGGTCCCTGGCTCCCGGCGGATTCGAAAGTTTTGAGGCGGGAGATAACGTGAAGTTGAAACTGTGAAAGGGAGAACGTGGGTGAATCGCTTTTATCCTGTCTTTTCGGAGTGGGGAAGCC